AGAGCCACAAAGTTCTTATTATATAGGTCTTTTACTTGTTTGGTAAGCGTTACACCAAGATACTTTATGTTGCTGTGGCTATTGTAAAGGGTGATGTTTGTGTGATTTCTTTCTCTGTCTCTTTGTCATCTGAAAAAAGTAGGGCTACTGATTTTTTTTTTTTTTTTTTTTTTTTTGAGTTTATCTTGTGTCTTGCTAGTTTGCTGAAGGTGTTTATCAGCTGTAGGAGTTCCCTGGTAGAGTTTATTGGGTCGCTTATGTAAACTATCATATCATCTGCGAATAGAGACAGTTTTACTTCTTCCTTTCCAATTTGGATCTCCTTGATCTCCTTTTGTTGTCTTACAGCATTTGCTAGAACTTCTAGTACGATATTGAAGAGATATGGAGAGAGAGGGCAACCTTATCTTGTTCCTGGTTTTAGAGGAATTGGCTTAAGTTTCTCTCCATTCAGTTTGATGTTGCAGTTGATTTGCTGTATATTGTTCTTATTATGTTTAGGTATGTTTGTGTTATCCCTGACCTCTCCGAAGACCTTTATCATAAAAGGGTGTTGAATTTTGTCGAAGGCTTTTTCAGCATCTAGTGAGATGATCATGTGGTATTTCTTTTTCAGTGTGTTTATATGGTGGATCACATTGATAGATTTTCATATGTTAAACCATCCCTGCATTCCAGGGATGAAGCCTACTTGGTCATGGTGGATGATTTCTCTGATGTATTCTTGAATTCAGTTTGCCAGTATTTTATTGAGTATTTTTGCATCGATGTTCATCAGGGATATTGGTCTGTAGTTTTCTTTCTTAGTTGTGTCTTTGTGAGGCTTGGGTACCAAGGTTATTGTGGCCTCATAAAAAAGAGTTTGGCAATGAAGCTTTTGGTTCTATCTTGTGGAACAGTTTGAGGAGTAGTGGTATTAGTTCTTCCTTGAATGTCTGGTAGAATTCTGCACTGAATCCATCTGGCCCTGAACTTCTTTTGGTTGGAAGGCTTTCAATGACTGCTTCAATTTCATTGTGGGTTATAGGTCTATTTAAGTTGTTTGTTCTTGATTTAATTTTGGTAAGTGATAGTTATCCAGAAATTTGTCCATTTCCTTTTCAATTTTTGTGGAATACAGATTTCCAAAATATGACCTGAAAATTGTCTGGATTTCCTTTGTGTCCGTTGTTATGTTCCCCTTTTCGTTTCTGATTTTGTTAATTTGCATGTTCTCTCTCTGCTTTTTTTCTCAAAAAAACCAACTCTTCGTTGAATTGATTTTTTTTTTTTTTTTTTTTTTGTTTGTATTGTTTTCCTGGTTTCTATTTTGGTGATTTCAGCCCTCAAATTGATTATTTTCTGGAGTCTACTCCTCCAGGGTGAGTTTGCTTCTCTCTGTTCTAAGGCTTTCACTTGCTCTGTTAATTCTCTTATGTGACTATCCTCTGTTTTCTTAATATGGGCACTTAGTGCAGTGAACTACACCCTCATAGCACTGTTTTCAAGGTGTCCCATAAGTTCGGGTATGTTGTATCCTCATTCTCGTTGAATATTAGAAAGTCCTTAATTTCTTTCTTTATTTCTTCTTTGACCCAGGAGTGGTGCAATTGCACATTGTTCAGTTTCCATGAGTTTGCAGGTTTTCTGCTATTTGCGTTGTTGTTGAATTCCAATTTTAAATCATGGTGGTCTGATAAGATACAGGGGACTATTCCTATTCTCTTGTATCTGTTGAGGTTTGTTATGTCACCTAGTATGTGGTCGATTTTAGAGAAGGTTCCATGTGGAGCAAAGAAGAAAGTATATTCTTTTGTCTTTGGATGGAATGTTCTATAGATGTCTGTTAACCCCAGTTGAGACATAACTTCTGTTAGTTCTTTTGTTTCTTTGTTGAGTTTCTGATTTGTGGTCCTGTCTAGTGTCGAGCGTGGTGTATTGATGTTTCCCACTATAAGTGTGTGACATGAGCTTTGAGTTTTAGTAGTGTTTCTTTTATGAATGTGGGTGCCTTTGTATTTGGGGCATAGATGTTCAGAACTGAGACTTTGTGTTGATGGATTTCTCCTGCGATGAATATGAAATGACTGTCTTCATCTCTTTTGATTAATTTTGGTTTGAAGTCTAACTTGTTAGATATTAAGATAGCTATGCCTGCTTGCTTCTTATTTCCATTTGATTGGAAAATCTTTTCCCAACCCTTTACCCTGAGGTAATGTCTATCTTTGTGATGGGAGATGCCATTATGTATATATGTTTCTCATACTGGTTAATAATAAAGCAGGGCCAACAGCATTGTATCAAATACAGAGTCTCTGTGTATTATTTGGGGCTGGCGGCTTGGTGGCGGAACAAGAGCAGGTGGCGGGCAGAAAAACCGTACTCGTTACATCTTTGAAGCTTAGATGTGTTTCTTGTATGCAGCAGAAGGATGGATTCTGTCTTCGTATCCATTCTGTTAGCCTGTGTCTTTTTATAGGTGAGTTAAGACTATTAATATTGAGGGTGAGTAAGGACCATTGATTGTTGATGCTTGTTTGATTTAGGTTTGTTGTTGGCAGTGGTATTGTGAATATATTAGTTCTGCTTCACCCTTGGTTTCTGGTACAGTTGGATTATCTGTTGCCTACATTTTTGTGGGCATAGTTACCTTCCTTGGGTTGGAGTTTTCCTTCCAATACTTTCTGTAGGGCTGGATTTATAGATACATATTGGGAAAATCTGGTTTTGTCATTAAATATCTTGTTTTCTCCATCTATAGTGATTGAGAGTTTTGCTGGGTATAGTAGCCTAGGCTGGCATCCGTGTTCTCTTAATACTTTGAGAACATCTATCCAGGACCTTCTGGCCATGAGGGTTTTCATGGAGAAGTCAGGTGTAATTTTGATAGGTCTGCCTTTATATGTTACCTGTCCTTTTTTTTTGCTGCTCTTAATATTCTTTCTTTATTCTGTATGCTGGGTGTTTTGATTAGTATATGTCGAGGGGTCTTTTTCTTTGGTCCAGCCTATTCGGTGTTCGGTATGCTTCTTGTACTTTCATGGGCATGTCCTTCTTCAGATTTGGAAAGTTTTCCTCGATGATTTTGTTGAATATGTTTTCTTCACCTTTGAGCTGGGCTTCCTCACCTTCCTCTATGCCTATTATTCTTAGGTTTGGCCTTTTCATGGTGTCCCACATTTCCTGGATGTTTTGTGTTAAGGATTTGTTGGATTTATATTTTCTTTGGTTGATGAATCTATTTCTTCTAGTTTATCTTCTGTGCCTGAGATTCTCTCTTCCATCTCTTGAATTCTGTTGGATATGCTTGCATCTGTAGTTCCCAATTTTTCGCCCAGTTTTTCTATTTCCAGCATTCCTTCAGTTGTGTTGCCTTTATTTTCTCTATTTCAGTTTTGAAGTCTTGAACCATTTCCTTCACCTGGTTAATTGTTTTTTCTTGGCATTCTGTACTTTCCTTATGGAATTTGTTCATTTCTTCCACTTTTTTGTTTGTTTTTTCCTCCATTTCTTTAAGGGATTTTCTCACTTCTTCTTTGAGGGCCTCTATCGTTTTTATGATGGTAATTTTTAAGTCGTTCCCTTCTGTTTCCTCTGCTTTGTTGTTGTGTTCCATTCTAGTTGGTGTAGATTCCCTAGATTTTGGTGGTGTCATGCTTGTCTTTCTGTTGTTAGGTGTTTTCTTGTATTGCCTTCTTCCCATAGCTTCTTGTTGGTGGGGTCTCCCTTCTCTCTATGGTACTTCCCAGGTGGGCTTATGTGGGTCAGAGATTCAATATCTGTAGCTCTGGGTGGTCCAAGCTCTATAGGAGGTCTCTCCGCAGACAGGGACCCAGGGATGGGGTCAGGGCTGAGGATCCAGTAGAAGATGCCACTAGCCAATGGCTCTAGCCAGTGGCTGGCAGAAGAGGACAAAGCCTGAGCTGAAACTTGGTAAGTTTCTGCAGGATAGTCTGATCTCACTGGAAACTGGGACTCTCCAGCTGAGGCCTCTTTCTTTAGCAGTGGTCCTGCTTTGGGGGTCAAGGTTTTTGCTGGCAGGTACTCAGAGTGGACCTGCAGAGATAGGCGGATCTCTGGGAGGGGCCCGGGACTCCAGCAGAGGACTGGAGGTGGGGTCAGAGGCCAAGCAGGTGGAAATTACGGGTGGTCCTGCGTGGATAGGCAGGTCTCCTTTGTTCAGAGTTGCTGGGAGAAGTCTCCGAAGAAGGGTGGACTGTTGGCTCCACCCTCTGTCTCAGTGCTCAACCAGAGCAGCAGGACAGTGGGCAGGGTAGGGCACAGGGTAGGGGGGTAGGCTTGCGGTGGGGATGGGTGGGGGTGTATCAGAGCTCTAAGGGTGCTCTCGATGGGAACAGAACACAGGAGCAGCAAGATCAGGGCGAAAGTATTTTCTTATATGTTAATTTGCTTTTCTTTTGCTGTGTTAAAATAATGACCAGAGTCAACTTGGGGAGGAAAGAGTTTATTTGCCTTACATGTTCCAGGTCATAGTCCATCATTGAAGACCACCAGGGCAAGAACTTTGAGGCAGGAGCTGAAGCAGAGGGCATAGAGGAAAGTTGCTTGTTGGCTTGGTCCCCATGGTTTAGGACCACCTGCCCAGGGTGGTCCAACAGTGGGTGGGGCCTACCAGCATCAATTATTAGTTCAGAAAATCCTCACAGATTTTCATACAGGGTAACTCGATAGAGACATTTTATCAGTTGAAGATTACTCTTTTAAGATGCCCTTAGCTTGTATCAAGTTGACAAATATATATATATATATATATATGTATATATATATATATATATATTATGACGTGTTCAACCTTGCACACTGAAGCTCTGTTGTAATAAACAGTTGTAGGAGAAAACAAAAATCTGCGAGGCTGGTCTATTTTTAAGTTTTTGTTTAAAAATCTATGAAATCAGTTTTTACATTTTTTTTTCCTTCTTTGACATTTTCATACTGTATATTGTTTTCTTGTAATGTCCCTTTGCAAAGTGTTTTAACATGGTCTTTGTTTCCTTCTGCAGGGCTTCTCTGCACTCACCTTCCTCCAAGTCATTCCGGGATTTTTTACTAGGAGAAAAAAAACTTGTTACTGGCCATGGTTCAGTAGATCATGTCAAAAAAGTTGGAATTGAAAATTCTCAGGCCCTAAATATTGTAAGGTAATAAATTTAAAACTTATATATTTTCTACCTTAAAATATTCTGTGGGGGCGTCATGTTCTTAAATGATGTTTAATATGTCAGGGTAAACGTTATAACTTCTTGTACATTTAGGGTTCGCGGTAACTCTTGTTTCATTTTTACTTTTAGTAGCAGTTTTTTGAGATATTTGCTCATAGCAAATGTCATGTAAAAGCCACAGTTTGGTGTTTTGGCACATGTCATATGCCGTGAGATAGTCATATATACTGCTCCTAGAATCTGCCTCATGCCCCTTTTCCCTAGCAGTTACCCATTGATTTTTGGCAACATCGAGCTTATTTACTTCCTAGAATTCCATGTCAGTGGAAATCATGCAGGATGCATTCTTTCATAGAATCTGACCTTTACTTACAGTTATTTTGGAACTCATCTATGTTTTTAATATATCACCAGTTGATTCCATTTATTCTTTGAAGCATGTCTCTTTGTGTAGATCTACCACAACCCACCTCCGTGTCTCTGTTATTGGGTGTTTCTAGTTCTAACTTGAGTTATTATTTATTTAGTTAGTTCTTATTGTTTGATCTGGATCTTCTTATGTTGTGTTGAACTTGGATACTACAGCTTTAGCTTCTCCTGTGCCGGATTACAGGTATGCACTACCTAATTCAGCTGTTCTAGGCATTTTTGCTGACTTTTGAAGATGCTTTATATTTCAAATGCCTACCTGATAAATGAAAATCTATTCATAATTTAATAGCAACATTTTAATGAAAATGCCCTTACTATGTAGCTGAAGATGACCTGAACTCCTTGTGTTCTTGCCTATACCTTCAAATGCAAGGGTTATAGGCCTGTGCTTCTTCCTTGTACTTGCAAATGAACATTCTTATAAAAAATAGAAAAAAAATTCAGCTTGGTAGGAATCATAGTATATCTCTCCAGACTGTTAAGTCTAGGGTGTTAATTGGGGGGGGGGGCATTGAGACAGAGATGTTAAGAGAGAGAGAGAATGAGAATGTCATTTATGGCAGTTTTATGTAATGAAAAACTTATTTGTGATTCTGGTTGTCAAACTACTTTTTTTTCCTTCCCATAAATCCATGTGTTAAGAAGTCATAAATATTTTTTCCTTCCCATAAATCCATTTGTTAAGAAGTCATAGTAGGGCTGGCACCCTATCACTTGAGAGGATGAAGTAGGGTTGCCAGGAAGCCTGTGCTTCCTAATGAGTTCTAAGGCATCTTGGACTACAATTGAAGTCCCAAACAAATACAATAGCAACAGTTCAGTTTCAATGTATCAAATAGCTTATATAAACTCTGGTTAAAACAAGTAGAGTCCCAGAGGTGTTTAACCTCTGCTTACTTAGCCTGTCTTGAAAATAGACTGAAGTCTTTCAGAGACTTGGAACAGCGGTTGCATCTGAGAGCTTCTGCTATATGCAGAATGTTTATATTTTTGTTGATACTGTTGTTGGTTTTCTTACTGCAGGCAGGTACCTTTAGAAGCACTGTTTTTGAGTAATTTTGTTATAGAAAGAAAATTATAATCTAAAGAATCAGGTTACTTGCCTCCTTAGCTTTTCAAATAATTTTAGAAGGGGAATGTTATTTTAAATTGAACTCATATAAATATAAAAGTTAAAGTTTTAATGTTCCTTACTCTTTTTTTCGGAAGCCTTCAATTATTAATTAACCCTTTCTGTTCTTGAAAAGATTCAATTTTTTCCTTCGCACTAGATTCTCGCCATCTGTGTTCCTGTTTGCTCCAGGTTTTTGTATAAAGTCAGGGTGGAGTAGCAAACCTCCCACTCCTCTTCCATGACTTTATTCTTTCTAGTGATTGCCCCACCATTGTGCACCTCACTTCTTAGAAGAGCTGCCAGTTCCCACTTTAATTCATCTGGATTCTGTTCTATTACTTCACTAAAGCAGTCCGGCTAACCTTAATAGTGCCCTGCCATGGGACTGCTCATACTAGAACTGTGAGTGCAGGTCTTTTTTTTTTTTTTTTTCCTCTTTGTATTTTCTGTACTTTCTATTCTATCTATATCATGAGCGTATGTCCTGTTATCAGATAGCGTATTGAGCTTCAGACTTCCTTGTTCTCTTGGTCTTTCCATCCTGTTTAGATCTTCAGAGATATATCAGGCCTGAAGCCCAACTTCATGTTTTCTTCATAACACTCTCATAAACCCAATGTCAGGCAAACTGTAGATAAATAAAAACCCATTCTTTCTGATCTTTATTCCTTAGTAGTAATGCTTGCTGTTGTCAGTTTTACTTAGTCTATATTAGTTCTTGAATGTTTAATATATATGCTAAACTTCATAACTAAGGCTCTCATCCCCACCCATACCATCATGACCTTTTACCCTAGTTATAAGTGTGGTTCTGTGCCTAGTCTCCTTTCTTTTTATCCATCCATTTATACATTGAGTCAGTATGTTCTCTTTTGAAACTATAGAACTTACTGCTTTTAGGATAAAAGTTAGATTTTGTTGTAGGTTTGTTTGTTTGTTTGTTTGAGATAGGGTTTCTCTGTATTTCTTTGGAGGCTATCCTGGAACTTGAACTGTTGACCAGGTTAGCCTCAAACTCACAGAGATCCTCCTGCCTTTGCTTCCTAAGTGCTGGAATTTCAGATGTGTGCCACTACCACCCAGCAAAAGCTAGAATTCTTATTATGGCCTTCAAGGTGTACAGAGCCTGGTTTCTGTCACCTTCTTTCACTTTGTCTTAGGAAATAACTGTATTATAGTATCTGGCTTTCACTTGTTCACATCTGCCCTTCTTTGTATCACCTTCCCTTTGATCCCAACTCTTCATAGTCTGTTCAGTGGGTATTTAGAGGATCTTACTTCCTTTCCTAAGTCAGTTCCTTTTACATATTTCTGCCGTGCTTCTGTTATGTCATCATAGTTGTTGCTAGTGATTCTTTTGTTTGCTTGGAAACAGGATCTTACGATGTAGTGGTGGCTGGCCTGGAATGTGCTATGTAGATCAGGCTGGTCTCAAACTCACATAGACTTACCTGCCTCTACGTCTGCCTCCTCAGGGGCTGGGACTAAAGGTGTGAGCCAGTTTATTGTCTTATGTATATATGCTGCATTTGTTTATGTTTATCAGTATTACAAAAGCAAGGATGATACCTCTCTTTGCCGGTCATTGCACACACGTGTTTAGAATGAGCATTTAATGAGTATTTGGTGACTGAATAAATAAATGAATTAAAATTGTACTCCTGGGTTGGAGAGATGGCTAGGGGTTGAGAGTACTGACTGCTCTTTCAGAGGTCCTGAGTTCCATTCCCAGCAACCATATAGTAGCTCATGGCCATCTGTAATGAGATCTGGTGCTCTCTCCTAGCCTGCAGGGATATATGCAGACACAATAAGTAAATAAATCTTTAAAACAAAACAAAACAAAAACCCTGCAACTCCTTTTCGGGTAATATTTGTTTTGAATGTAGTGAATTTCATTGGGTATCTCTGATGCACAAATTTGGAAGTATAAACATTAAGCTTATTTTAAATTGCAATTCTTCTTTGCATAAGTTGCCATTCATGGAACACAGAAAATCTTAAGGATCTGTGGTTTGCTAGTTGGTCACTAGGGTGTGCTGTCACATTGGGACTTAATTGAGGAGTGTGTGCTGTTTTGTGACTTCGGAAGTTTGAGTTGAAAAATCATGTATCAGTAGCTTGATGTGGGAACTAATTTTTACATAGATGGCTCTCATTGATAAAGATTTGGGGGAAAAAACCGATAGCTTATGTTTCATGCCTCATTTTAACCATAGAAAACATGTAATTTACAAGTAAGTTTTTTTTCAAAAAGGATATATAAAACACTGCAGACAAAACACTCACCAAATTACTGGGTACCTGGTAGGGGCACAGCATTGTACTGGCTCCTGTTGGCCATATATAAACATATGATATGTAGACCTAACCCTTAATGGATTTGAAGTCTGATTCATGAATATGGATATGTATATGTGAAGTTAAAGGGCCCAGGCAGAGAGCAATGACAGTATGGTACAACAGCACAGAGGAGGACACTGAAGGGAGAGTCACTCATGCTAGAAGTATAGGAAGAGCAAAAGCTCTGGATACTACAGCCTTGACTGTGCCGTGCTAATGTGTGATCGTGGGAATAGCAGAGAAGTAGGCCATGCCATTATTTATCCTTTTTATTGTCACAGGCTTTGGAATGTGGACTGAGATTTTTAAAGAAGAAATTAAAACCCAGGAGAAAAGGCAGCGTAAACAGGAAATAGTGGGAGAAAAGCAGGAAGACAGGAATGCTGGTGGCCCTGGGGTTAGAGTGTAAGGAAGGTCTGCACACCACACGTAGTCTCTTAATTGCATAAAATGTGACTTAAAAAATTATTTGCTCCCCATCCCCCAAGGCAATGGCAGGCAAAGAAAGGCAGTATCATCTAGCGATGTTAAAATGTAGAAGGAAAGGATTTTGTGTTATTTCTTTTAGTTCTTTGCTCGTTGTGTCTGTTTCATTTTTCTTTCACTAAAATAACCCTGTATCTCTACTGGGAAATGTGCAGTTTCCAATCATTATTTCTGGAACACAATTACTATTATTATATATTAGTTCTAATGGTAGATAAAATTTTAAAGTAAAGCTAGTATAAAATCTTATAGATATTGTCTAAGCAAAAACAGCTTAGTTATTTTAACATCTAAAATTGTCACTACTTTTTAATTAAAACAAAAATCTTTAAAGAATATTTTAGTAAACCTTTTGTTTTTTTTCTATTTAAGAAGGCTACTTATATACTGGTTATATATTGGAATGTCTGGTTTTGTTTTTATATCTGAAGCTTAATGATTTTATATTATTTGAAAGCTTAGAAATCTTAAAATCTCTAGCTGTTTTATTTAATAGTTTTCCTATATTTTATGATGAAATTTTGATGGACTCCCAAGTTGTTTGATAAAGAAATGATTAATATAATTACTCACTAAAGTTTATTAATAGAGTTATGGGATTATGAAATAGATTTTTGCCATTTTAAAATTTTCTGGGGATTTCTTAATCAAGTGCTCTCTGTTGCATTAAATCTGAAATCCTCAGATGGATGTTTCAGCGTAACATTATAGCCCTATATGAATCTCATCATATATGAAGTAAGGACCATAATACCCTGTCATACAAACCTCCTGAGACTTGGTATAAAATATGAAATACTGTGTAGAACCATTATTCTTAAAGTTTTAGTTTACGTTGATTTAATAAGCCCTGGGTTTGAAACCTCCTTATACTGTTAATTTTGTTTTGTTAGGTAGAAATGCTAACAAAGGTTTCTCTAATTCTTTATTTCCTAATGTTAATTATAGAAAATATTGGTTTCCTTGTGATATATCCATTTATAGCTATGTTGAACATTGGTCAACTCTATCCTTTATTCCTTTTTAATAGTTGGTGACTACTGATGTACTGTAGTTATCTAGCAACCAAGTAATTATTTGTGTGTCTTTGAAAGTGTCAATGCATTTAATTGGTCCCCAGAACCACCAGCATAATTTTCAGCATCTGAAATGTGATTGTTGAATGAGTTGTTTCTAGTAGACTCAGGCATTTGAATACTGGGCCCACACTTGGTGATACTGTCTGGGGAGGCTTATGCAGTATGGCCTATGTTATAGGAAGGATGGTACTGGAAGCAAGCTTTGAAGTAACTTGGGTCATTTCCATTATACTCGGCTTCCTGTTTGTGATTGAAGATGAGCTCTCAGCTTCCTGTTCTAGCCACCATACATACTCTCTTTGCCCTGCCATCAAAGATTTTTAAGCCTTCAAATCTAGACAAGAGAGTAACATGATGGAATTAAGTTGGATGGAGATCAAATGCATCTTCCCTTGGTCAAGTCTTTGGGAAGGTCTCACAAGTCAGACTAGAGCTAGAGAACAGTTGCTTGCCAGGGTGTTGAAACACAATAAAAGGACAAATGCAGGCAATCCCTTCATGGATCAGGTTTATTTGGGCTCAGTGTTCCAGAAACGGAAACTCTTATTTCCCATTCTGTCTTTCATCTAGAGCATGTAATAGTATATTAGTACTGAGTGCTATTTATTCATACAGGCCTTTGTACTTCTTATACATGCCTGATTTCTAATGAATATCATTAGAAAAAGACTGTTATGATACTTCTCCTGTATGGTTCAGTTCTCTGTGGATTCCTTTGTTTGCTTGTCTTAAGCTAGAGCTAGGCCTGACTGCAAACAGTAATTGTCTCTGTGTCAGGAGCTTATGGCTCTGGTCTATGTGTTACTAAGTAGTTTTACTAATATTACTGAAAGCCCTAATCCCAGTTTTTGGAATTTGTTTTACAGATGTTCACCTCATGGAACACCAAAACTAGAAAGCAATCATGTTTCTGATTTTCCACTACTGGAGAGTCCCAAGTAAGCTTAATTGATTACCTGTGGGCCTTGAATTATTTAAGAAATTAATTTCTTAGGTATATTTAAGAAATGGCTAATTGTGTAGTTGAAATTACTAGAATGTATTGTTTGAATATCTGCTTTTCTAAAAATAAGAGTTAATTATATCATTTCTGTTACACCTTTACTTTTTAGAATTTCCTAAAATTTGATCTAACACTTATTTAAGTAAAATAATAACTTTTCTGTGTTTTTACCTCACTATTCTGTAATTTCTGCAAAAGCTTCCAGGTTGTATTATGTAGTAATCCCTAGGGGGGAAACAACATTGCTAAGTAACATTTTGCAGGAAATTTTACATGGAGATCTTTGGGGACAGGAATAAAAGCCATTATTGTCATTTTACAGTCCCTGGCTGTCTTCCTCACTGGCTGTTTCGACCACAGTCGCTCCTGTCACTTTTGCATCTATTGTAGAAGAAGAGCGGCAGCAAGAAGCTGCACTCATCAGAAGTCGGGAGAAACCCTTGGCTCTCATTCAGGTGAGTGACACACTCAGCTTTAGCTTGGCGAAGACTGCTCTACATTTCAGTTCTAGATCTTTGGGTTTTGTTGTTATTTGTAATTTTGAGACAGTGTCTCAAGCTCTGTAGTCCAAGCTGGCCTTGAACTCATGGCAGTCTTCCTGCCTGTGCCTTCCAAATGTTGTTATTGGTGTCACAACCACGTCCATCTATAGGTCTGTAGAAACTTTTATTGATTGGCTTTGAACATTTGACTAGATGTACTAGATTAAAATTTAAATGTATATAAAACTAGATGGTGTTATTCAGGATAATTTGAACTAGCACAATGTGATCAGTTTCCTGTTTTTAGTATTGGCATTGCTTTGGGCCATTTTAAGTTTTCAAAGAATTTGGTGGCATTTGCTGCTCTTCTTAGTTTCTTTCCTACTTCAGTTCAAGATTATAGACAAAAGAGAACATGTTTGGCTTCCCTTATGGTAAAGAGGCTTTATTTGAGGGATGTAAGATTTCACAGTCATATGTGAAAGATTAGAGAGGCAGGCTGGGGAAAGATAAGCCTCATAACACTGGAGAGTGCAAAAGCAAGCTGTAGACGGTTGCGCAGTGGCAGAAAAAGACCTCACAGGGTGAAACTGCTTGCATGAATTGATTCCAGAAATTCAATTCAGTTTCTTTTCCCTTAGCTTTGGGATTCAAATTGCAGGCTGGCAGATGGCTTGGCAGCTTAGGGTGTGCATCTCTCTTCTAGGGGACCTGGATCGGTTCTCAACACTAATGTCGGTTAGCTCACAACCATTAACTCCAGAACTAGAAGTTGGGAGGTGGTTCTCTTCTGGCCTCCAAGAATGTTGCCCTTGCACACAGGTGGTGCACAGACATGCACTCAGACACTCACACATGCACATACCATTTGAAGAAGAGATTTGGACTGAAGTGAGAACAGGTATCTGGCTATTCTAGCTCAGACTCAAGGTTTCTGGCAAGGCCAGGGGACTAGGAAGGTTTCTGATTCAGTTCTGCTGTGTTGTGTCTATATCAAGCCTCAGTTTCTCCAAAGGAAGTAAGGAAACTACTAATCCCGCTAATCTGTTCTACTTAAAAGAGAGAGGCAAATCTTTCCCTGTCTCCTCCCAGGTTGAGGAACATGCAATACAAGAGCTGCTGGTTTTCTATGAGGCGTTTGGCAACCCTGATGAATTTGTCGTCGTTGAGAGGACGCCGCAGGGGCCGCTAGCAGTGCCCATGTGGAACAAGCATGGCTGCTAGCTCGCTGCACAGACAACTCTGCTCCCGAGGTTGTGCTTGCTACACTGACTGGAAGAAAAACCCTTCATACATATTTGCTGGCACGTTGTTTTAGTCAGAATAAAAGTGGATATGATTTCTTCCTGTAGTTTATAATGTTTGTATGACTAATGAGAAATTTTTCAAAATTGTGATTTTAGTAACTTTTATGTGATGATGGGACAGGAAATATGTTAGGCTAAGGTTGGGTTGGTTGGATTGTTTCTTCTAAGTTACCTTACAATTGAAAATATGGGAGAATTATAAAGTTTAAGAATGATTCATTAAGGCTTTTTTTCATTTGAGAATATGGAGTAATTTAGAAGAGTTTACCACATGTGTTTTTAGATAAGACACTGATGAGATTAAGGTAGGAGCCTCAGTCATGACTTCTGATCCACTAATGGCCAGAATGTACTCTTTGCCATAGTAGAATGTCTGTTGTTGCCTTTTCATTGGGCTGTTAATGTCTTAGGCCTCTTTAAAGTTGGACCTGGTGAAATGCTATGTTCTTCCTAATTGTTCTGAACAGGTTAGTCAGCAATCATAGCTTCTATGGGAGATTTGGATTCATGAATTTTTGGGGGGGTGGGAAGGTAGCAAGAGAGGTTATATGAATGACTAATTGTGAAAGAATCAGTTTCTTAAAGTGTTAAGATTTTCTAAAACAGACATAGGATTACTGAATAGTTTGTTCAAGTGGTTGTTTATAGTTACTTTTTAGTACTGTGTAATCAGAAGTTCTGTGAGCCTAGATTATATGTGTACATGTGAATTTTGATTTCTTCATAGTATGCTATTTGGTTTGATTTTGAATGTTTACAATTCAAAGGAAAACAATGTTAAAATGTGTGCTTTGTTATGTAGATAAAATGAGAATGTCAATGCCTAAATTCTGGGAAAGAATCCCTGGGAATATGTAGGCAGTTCATTGCTTGACTTCAGTTGATGGGAAATTGACTGAAGCTAACTCAGTGTTTCAGTTCAGTTCCACCCACAAGCAGCAGATGTGTAAGCAAACATGCAATAAAAAGTAATCTTGATCCACTTCACTACTAATGTGTATTTGATGTTGCGTGTAGCACTAGATTGACACTTTGAGGGAAGAATTTCTAGCTAGTCCTAATTATTTCCCTTATGTGCCACAGTGATAGCCAGTGTATATTTTTACTCAGCTAGAAATCCTGATTTATATTCCATATGTTTGAATAATTTGAGAAAAACATGAATTTTACAATGTCTTTTTGATATCAGTAAAGAAGCTTTATGGTAGGGGTCGTTGGTGGTGCATGTCTTTAATCCCAGCACTTGAGAGGCAGAGGCCGGCAGATCTCTTGAGTTTGAGGCCAGCCTGGTCTACAGAGAGTTTTCCAGGACAGCCTCCAAAACAAACAAACAAAAACAAAAGAAAGAAACCAGAAGCTTTATGAAGTCATTGGCTTACTGGAGCTTTGGTACTCTGAAGACACATGTCAATGGTAGTTTTCTTCGTGTCTTCCATTCTGCTTGGGAAGCATCCTCAGTAGTCTGCCCTTTTTGCAGGTGGAAAGTGTGAAGAAGGAGCTGGGGCTAACCGAGTTTGGGACTCTTGTCCTTTCTTTGTAAACCGTGACCAGATTGCTTGTGCTTAATCATCTGTTTTATATAGTGAGCTACTGTAAAATTTCATACAGGAAGAAATGCTCCTGCAAGAAAAGTGAAAGATAAGCCTTTTTGTAATTGTAGTTTTCCATGAATGAGTCTATGGAGATGACTGCTAATACATTGCTTTGAAACCCCAGGAGGATGATAGTAGTTTTTCCTAACAGTGCTTTCTTCCTGTAGTAACTCATCCATCTGTACTTGCATAGATTCAAGAAAATCCAATAGAACTGCAGAAAGTCTGTGACTCATCAACTGAAGTGATCACTCGGATGGAGATACCCTTGACGACTCAAGACCAGTGCTTGAGTCTAGAAAGGAGATGATGTATGAAGTATTGGGGTCAGGGAATGAATAGCCTAGAAAGGTGATGGTGTACCAACAGTAGAATGTGCTTAAAGTTTTTGAAATCAAGAAACTATAAATCAAGTGAATTTGTTGACAAAATAGTAGTATTTTTGTCTCTAAATTCTAAAGATGTGTCTTTTGGGCAAATACTGCTTTACATGGGAAGAACTGTAGACTGAAGTCCAGCCATGGATGGGCAGTTTGTCTGTGGCTCTTCTGGAGGGCATGTGATTTTTTTTGTTTGTTTGTTTGTTTTTTAAGATAGGAGTTGATGCCTGTTTCTTACAATTTGAGATCTAAGGAAGCCCTGTTGATTTATGTCAGGCAGTTTGTTTTCTATACTGAAGAAAACAAAATCCACAAAGAGTGATGCTTTCTGTCTTTGTAGTGTGGTTCTCTTAACTACAACAGGCTGTCTCTTTGAAACTGTCATTTATTATAGTAATTAGCCAAGAAAAAGAATTATAAAAAGATCACTTATAAAGCAATTGTAGTTCAGGGACTTCCAGATTTGTCAACACAGAGATGTTTTCAGGAGAAAGTAGAGTTATCTTCCAAGAAGAAATTGGAAACAATGATCTGAGACATGCCAAAGTCTAGGTGTTCTTTCTTAATATAATATCAAGCTATGACAGATATTAATGCCATGTTGGTCCTATGTGTGTTACCCACCCAGCTGTATCTTTGCTCCAAGGCACACGTAGTTCATTTTTTCTAGCTGTTTCTCTGTTGTTCCCTGGCCAGCCTTTGTTTCATGTTGAAGTGATATTCTACTATTCCCATTCTTGTACTTTAGTCATCCACCCAAATCATTGAGGCTGAACCTGTAGGACAGTCCTTCTTTTGTTTCCCCATTCTATACATTTACTGGTCTCAACATCTATGACTCTGTCTCCTCTGTATGTTCTCTCTAATCTTTCCTATGTTGTTCTTGTCCCTTCTAATGCGTTTGCTGTGTTTTATATCTTTTAAAACAAACTCCCAACTTTTTGGTCTCAAAATCCTTTTACTCTCATTTTAAAAGGATTTATTATTTATTTATATATGTGAGTATTTTCCCTGTATCCTTGTCTGTACACTATGTGTGCATTGCCCACAATGACCAGAAGAGGGCACCAGAACCCTGGAACTGGAGTTACAGATGGTTCTGAGTAGCCATGTCAGTGCTAGAATCAAAGGCAAACCCATCTCCATCCCGTTTGCCTTAGGTGATGGTCAGCTGAAGTGTGAAGATGGTTTTTCCCTGATGTCCTGAACTAGAAATTCTGCTGCATACTAAATGGTTCCTGCAAAGCATCTAACTGAACAAAGGCACATCTTCAGTCTTTCATCACTAGCCAACAAGTCAACCTGAATCCTTTGTATGGTGGATGGATCATTTTCAGTCTTTGCTACTATTTATTCATGTAGCTAGAGGAGGAGAGTGTGACTTCTGAGCTAGGGAAATACTCCTTGCATCCCTACACTTGGTAAACTTTGATGCACAATAATAATTCCTACTTGACCAGATTATGAAATACTGCAGATTCATATAAAGAACATAAGTTGGTGAAGCAGAGGTCACATATGTAGCCAATATAATTCCTCAGCAGAGAAAGACTGAAAAAGCTGTGGCGTGTTAGACGACAACTGCTTTGTAAGAAAATAATTCAGTCACTTTTGTACTGAAATACACATGATTTGTAATTCACTGTTAAGCTGGGTGTTTTCATAAGCATTTGTATAAAAATACTGATGAGCTATCATATCTCTCCTGTCTACCTGTTCCCCAGTAGCTACATAAGGAGTTAAACCAGTTCCCTTATGTAGATTCAGGCCCATGGAATTGCATCCTTAGTTTCTTCTAAGGAAGAAACTGGCCATCAAATATTACCTCAATCAGTAGAAAATGTTTGGCAGTGAAAGGCTCCATTCTAAGTATGAGCAATAAATACATAGGCACGCACGCATGCATGCATGTGAGCACACACAGGCCACTGTGAAAACAATCTGATTGCAAAATAGGGAACAGCAACTGCTATTTCACCATATGAGGGGGTAGAGTTGACAGGTAAGCTCATGAAAACATGTTCATTAGCTAGTAGAAAGTAGCAATTAAAACTACGGTGGCATATCATTGCACACCTACTGCCATGGCTAAAACAAGAAAGAGTGAAAACACTGAGTATTGATGTGGACCTAGAAGAACTGGGTTTCTTATTTTCTGGTGGGAATGGAAAACAGTACAGAGGTTCTGGAAAACTGACCTTGTAAAACCAATGGTTGCACATAGAAAAATAAAAGTTTATACTTAACAAAACTTGTACATGGATGTTCTTAGATTAGTTGTGATAGGAAAATACTGGAAGCTAACCAGATCTCAACCTACATCCCTTGCGTTGTGGGAGGATTGTTTTCAGCCCTTGCTACTGTTTACTTATGTAGCCAGGGCAGGAGAATGTGACTTCTGATAGGGAAATAGTCCCTATATTCCTACCCACCCCCTGCAAACTTTGTTGAGTAAACAGTGGGAAGACATGAGCCGTTGGTACATGACTGCAACCTAGATAGACCTTAAGGACGGTGTGAATGCTGAAAAATAAACTCTGAAGATTTCATATTGTATTTTAAAAAATGTCAAAATTGTAGAGGATAACAGATAAGTGGTTGCCAGGGGACAGGTGCCAGTTATGGCAGGGCCCAAAATACAAAGTACCCACACAAAAAGAGGCAGAATGGTTGTCTGTCTTTATTGTGGAAGCTTGTTACCTGGAAATATGTAGTACATGAAAGTGGTCTAAAATGAGTACAAGCTCAAAGATGTAAATAGTAAAGTCTACTGAGCAGTAACTGATGGTTACCACTTTCCTCGTTTGTGCATCATGCTAGGTTTGTGATATGCTGTAGCTCTACTTGGGATGTTGCTGGCAGGAAAAGTTAGTTGATGGTTGTCTGGGACTAGCATTTTTGAATCTTTCTGTGATACTAATTATTTCAAACTTTAAAAAGTTGTGGGGTTTTTTGTTTGTTTTTCTAAAAAAAAAAAAAAAAGGTGAGATAATAGTGATTGCTGTTCCATATTGTTTATGGGCTACACAGTTCCTCAGGTTTTGAGGATGTAGTGGTACTAAGAACTTGTAATCTTGGAGCCAGTAAATGCCATGGTCCCAAATGAGATTCCTATATTTCGTTGAAACGGGACTGGGGACGGGACTCGGTTCTTGATGTTGGTTGGCAAGAACCAACAAGGCCCCATCTCTATTAGCTCTATTAGTGCCAGTCTTTGAGGGCAGATAATTTCCTGCATGTGGAAACTATTAAGGAAATATTTCAAAGGGCAACCTCAGCAGAGGCCCAGTATTGAAAACAAGACCACTTTGAAGGGGCAAATGAATGAACTTTGGGTTAGGCAGTGTCTTAGATTTCTATTGCTGTGACAGAAAACCATGACCAAAAGCAATTTGTGGAGGAACTGGTTTATTACTCTTTTACTATGGTAAGTTAAGGCAGGAGTTCACGGCAGGAACTGAAGCAGAAGCATGGCAGAGCACAGCTTGACTGGCTTTCTTCCTGGGCTTATGGTCAGCTGCATTTCTTATGCCTCCCAGGACTGCTTGCCCAGGGATGGCACCACCCACAGTGGCTGGGCCCTCTCACGCCATCAATCATGAACATGCCCTAGACCCTGCCTACAGACCAATCTCGTGGAGACGTTTCCTCACTCTTCCCAGATAAGTCTAGCATGTATCAAGTTAACAAGGGGGGAAATTCCCAAGCAGACTCCAGCAATGTCACCAAAGAGAATCTGAGCCAATGGCTTCTATGCAGGTAATTGAGACTACAATCAGATCCTATAGGTGGCTTTCAGAGGTAGATGAAATGGGCAGATTCTTAGAAGGTCTCTGGCATGGGACAGAGCTGGTGGCCTAGAGCGAGTGAAGGAAGATAAGACAAGCAAAGGCCAGAGCACAGAGCAAACCAATGCTTGAAGCACTGCATTGTGCTCCCTATGCCATGGTGTCTCCCACATATTCTTACTTAAGTGCCTGACAAGTTTTATACTTCCTTATGTAGCATAGCTACT